TGACCAAGTTTTATGAGTTTAAACCCGAATGGAATGACTGAAATGTCTATTTTACCTTTAAATTAAACCAAGCTAAATTTACCCTTGGGTGCGTTGGAGTGAGAGAGGCCGGTGGAGGGTTCCGCTGGGCGGTGACGAAACAGGGGAGAGAGAACAGAGGGAATGGAGGGAGAGAGAGAGAACCTAAGCAAAGCTGTGCCGAAGGAGAATGTGTCTGGTTCTATAAACTAGCTTCTCTTCTTCATAAAGACGTACCGTGGTCAGTTGTGGCTTTCTTCAATCTCTTCTCTCTCGCTCGTTTTCTTTTTCATCGACATCATCGATATCTGTCTGAGAATTTCAAATGGGTATCGGTGAAATCGTCTTGGATCCATGGGAGAAATATTTCCATTGAAGTGTTTCCGGTTATTCAATTTGAGTTGAACAATCTTTTCTTCTTTTGATGTATTTGATCATCTTCGAGAAGGAGGTTCGGTATGGGAGGATATCCAATTGGTTTCTGAGTATTCTTATGCTATTGTCTTTACCTTTCCAACAAAAAGCTCTCCTTCTATCTACCGAGAGATGTTCACAAAGTTGCTGGCCGGTTAACTTAACTGGGGCCGGATGTGAAGGGGTCCTATGCTATTGCAACTTGCAGCAGCGGCGGTGATGAAACAAAAGCGAGAGGGAGAGAGAACGAAGGGGATGGAGAGAGAGAGAGAGTTGCATAGAAGTTCGTAGCCATGGCTTCATCTCTGGTTTGCTGCTCAGCATATGAAAGCCCTCTGCAAATGCCTTAAGAAATACAGTTAGGGTTTCTTCTTACTAGGAAGCATCGACATTCAACGTCTGGTATGCAGATGCCGGTGCCAGTGCTGGAGATAACCAATTTCGAGTCCACTCTCTCCCTCTTGAGTTGATACCGGTAAAGGTACTTAGACAGAATCGTCTTTCCCAAATAAGGGCATGGGAATTTTAAAAAATATAACAGTCACGTGAACGTACATGTGAGCAGTTAATGACGGAAGGAAATATTAGTCAATTGTCATAAACAGTAAAATTATCATTGGACAATTTTCAAACAATAAAAATACACTTGATTAATTCGCTAAATTATAAGGATAATTTAAAAAATTTATCCTATATATACATTATATATAATATTATTTATTATTTATATATATAATTAATAAAAAAACTGAATCGATCAACTAACTAACTGATTGGTTTGATTCAACTTTATTTCACAGTTTTTCATAAGCCAACAGTACCCGTTTGATTTGAAAAATAGTTCTGAACGTCAGCACCCCTAGACTTGGCTTCGGTTGCACTCCTGATACAAGCCTAGGCCCATGAGACATTGAGACTCTAGTTCTAGTCTTCCTATATTCATAATGTAAGACACGTGGCAAGCAGTTGCAATATTGATCCGGCTTGACCTTACCAATTTCTATCTTGAGTCTCGCAACCAAACCACATTTGTTACGACACTGTAATAGAGTTGCACTGAAACAATAAAATCAAGGTTAATTACGTTTATTTATATATATTCTGTACATTTGAGAAACTATTTATCCTGAACTTCTAAAACAACTTATGTCTTATTGATCGATCCCACATAATATAAATAGGACATTTGTCATTGTACCTTTTAGAACCATTAACAATTCACTTCAAAAATATTCATAAAACCAATCTTACCTTTAAACGTTAAAAACATTGGACAATAAAAAACATTCAACCCCAAGATTTTACATCGACTTTGGGAGCTTTCAAAATGATGGTTTGGTGGCCTGCTTTGATGGAAATAAGGAAGTGGGAAAGCATAGGAAGAAAGATTGAGAGAAAATTAAGCAGTAGAGAGCGATGGGAAAGCACGTGGAGACATTGGATGCATTCAGGATTGTAGCAAGGATTCACTCTTACTGTCAGCTATAATGATGGCAATGTTCTATTGTTGCTCAACTGTGCTATTGCAGATCTAGCAATGGTGTTTGCAGTGTTGAAGAAAAGAAGGGAAGGAAGAAGAGGAGAGAGAGAAGAAAAAGAAGAGGAAGAATGAAAATGGCATATTTTGAAATTTTAATGAATAGTGATAAATTTGTCTTTTTACATTTAATCTGTTAGACTTAACCTTGGAAAGGTCATAAATACCTCCACCTATAACATCCATACCTGCTCATGAATTGGCATCAATTCCGAGTTGGCACCTACCCAATTGTAGGGTGGAGCTAAAATTTTTGAGGAATAAATTGAACAGTAAAAACCCAATAAATCAAAGAGTCCGAATCTACTCCTCGCACTAACCTCACAGCATGCTCCAATCGTACAACAAGAACATCTCTCGTACTCGTATGTTATTATCTATGGGAGATGTTTCCAATGAGTTCAGATCAGCCCCTCACCAGATTACCCCCCCACAATGTCCCACAGCACATCCCCACAGTGTATTGTCATCATTTGGAGATGTTCACAATATACGGCGGGGATGTGCTGTGGAACATTGTGGGGGGCAATCTTGTAGGGGGCTGATTTGCTCTCGTTTCCAATACATGGTGGAATGTTGATGTGAGGAGTGCTCCCTAAGGAATAGATCCCAATTTTAAATCAAAGGCCTTGTTTTTTATTTGGGTTAAATACTTAAAGTACCCCTATGATTTGCAAATGAAGAAAAAAAATCTTATTGTTTGAAGAATTATTTAAAGTACCCTTTTTTTGGGCAATGGACAAAATACTCTCCTAAGTTAGCATGCCCTACAATACGTTCGCATGTGATGTCACACAATTTATATAATTGCTCTTAATTCCCAAACTACCCTTTTGCGGTCATTTTGCCCTTCATTGTTCTATAAATTTTCAAAATAAAACCCAATAGTTTTCAATCTTGCTGCTCCCCTCTCAATTGTTGAGTCTTATTTTGAATGAATGAGTTTATTTCTCAATTTTCAGAATGATCTCTCTTCTCCAACTCCTTCTTCGCTCTCAATTACATACAACTAATAACTTTTTGGGTAAAATATAAAAAACCTCCTCTAAGGTTTTTGGCAATCATAAAAACCTCCCCTATGGTTTCGTTTTCACAAAAACCTCCCTTATAGTATTGAAAAAACCTACAGTTGCCTTCCTTTTTTATCGTCATGGACAAAAAAATATCGGTCTAATGCATTAGTTTTTCAAAAATACCCATTTTACCCTTAAATCTATCAATTTACATAAAAATTTACTAAAATACTCCTAAAAGAATTTTTCACTTTTAATTAGAAAAAATCTCTAAGTTAGATAGATTGATTGATTTAAAAGAATAAAAAGTAACTTTACTCTATAAAAATGCTAGGTCTAGTGAAATTTAGAAGGACAAATTTGGCATTTTAAATTACATTGAAAGATTCCCTAATAAGTTGTAAGGGTAATTTTGTAACTTTGAAGTATTCATTAGTGGAACAAAGGCACAAGGGAGGTAACTACAAGTTTTTGGTAAACTATAGAGGAGGTTTTTATGAAAGTGAAACACAGGAAAGTTTTTATTATTGTTAGAAACTTCATGGGAGGTTTTTATATTTTACCCTAAGCAAATAAACTCATTCATTCATTTTCCCAGCGAAAATATCATATATGTTTGGCATCCGTGCTGCATGGTCTCTAATTGGGATTTAGAGACCACTAGGACACTTTTCCAACCTCATCAACCCGATTTAGGAAGATTATCATTTAGAAAAGAGACATGGTCTCTAAATCCCAAACCACCAAAGAGTTTATTTTGACTTAGGTTTCTCCAACTAACCCAGTTAACCCCTTTCCTTGTCCCACCAAAAATCCTTATGCATCTTCTTTAGTTTCTTACACACCCTACTTGGCAACTTGAAGTAATGCATGCTATAGACAGTGATTGCATTGAGAACAACTTTTATCAACACCTCCTTCCTGTTGGGCTCAACCACTTATTCTTCTAGTTTGAGACCTTTCTCTCCGCTTTGTCAATTAGGAATTCAAACATTCTATATTTTGATCAACAAAAGTGGGAGGGCTGACCCAAATAAACAAAGGTTTTTCTGTTCTCTGGATTTTGCATGCTTCTATCCAATAGCTTTTGAATCCTATAGTGAACATTTTTACTAAGAGTAGCTTTAGATATGTTTAGATTCACCTGATGTCCTGAAGCTTGCTCATAAGCTCTAATTGCCTCCAAAACCCTCTGACCTTCAACTGGATCAGCTTTGGTAAAGATGAAACTGTTATATGCAAAAAAGAGATTGTTGGACATCTACTGTTAAGCTTGAAACCAAAAATTTTTCTTTTCTTGCACCGTCTTTAAAAACATCCTAGAGAGCACATCTGAGCAAAGGAGAAAAAGGTGAGGGGATATTGAGTTACCCTGTCTGAGGCCTCTAAAAGGGAAGATTTTCCCACTGGGAGAGCCATTGACCAAGATTTGATAAAAGACTGAGATTACACACTCCATTGACCAAGATTTAAGGCCATTATTCATTTTTTGTTACTTTTGTTTTCTTCAAGTGGTGGAAAATCTCATGAGCTATTAGGATGTTATCTCCAATGGACCTCCATTCTTTAAAAGCACTAGGATTTTGAGAGATCAATTTTGCAAATTTTGACTTCAATCTATTGGCCAATACTTTTGCTATGATTTTATAGATTGTATTACAAAGACTGATTGGCCTGAATTGACTTGGTTTCTGGATGGTCAATCTTAAGAAAATTGAACTTAACCTGATCGCTTGGAGAGACAGGAGCAAACTCTGAATATCAAGGACCAAACAATCTCCTTGGCATCAGTCTCAATGCACACTCGCTTGGATCCCAAAGAGATCAATTCAGAACTTCACAAGTTTTGGATCAGCCCATGGCTGCCTCTTTTGAACTTGTGCACATAGGTCACCAACATTTGTTCTATAACGTTGATCCAATATGGCATTTTTTGTTCATCTCCACAACCTCAGCAAATGTACGTTCAATTGTTCATCTAACACACTTAACACTTACCTACACTACACCACAAGTTACTCCAAAATCATTCAATTGAAATTACTCTCGACCAACGCATTGCACTTGTAAAAAATAAGAAACCTGCGAGCTGAGCTGGGGTTTTTATCTTCAATGAGACCACGTATTCAAGCAATGTGGGCCGATGTACAAGTGCATCGTGTATAAAAGATTTCCAATAGCCCTGCTATACCCATCAGTAACACCAGCCTCGTGAATGGAAAGAACGGTGTGATGTCCGTCCGGTAGAGGGGTTTGATTTGGGCTAATGGGAATCGGTACGATGGCCGAAGGGAAATGAGGTTTCACGTGGCCGGACGGGAGCTGCTATGTGGGTAGTTGGGGTAAGGATCTCAAAAAGCAGCAGCTCAATGGTACGTTTTATCCCGACAGCGTTAAGGATCAGAGTTGTAATCAGAGGAGTCCATTGGTTGTTGGCAAGTATGGCATCCACGAAGAGGTCTTCGGTCGATGTATGGTGCAAGGGGGGAACTTGGCCGAGAGGAATTTCCCTTGGATTTACATTTGGGAATCAGATGGGGAAGTTGGTGATATCATCGATCATGTGGAGGCCTCGATGTTCTAACGAGACGGAACGAATTTGGATCAGGGAGTGGATGCCTTGCGGCGGAGGAGTCTGTGTTGTTTCACCGGTGAGGTTAAGAAACCCGGGAAGACGATACCGAAGGGACATAAGAACTACGATTTGATGCTTAATCTCCAACTGGGTATCAGGTAGCTTGTCGAATGAATAGTCTAGGGCTTGTTCCCCTTTCCTCTCGGAAAAAATCCCCCTCCGCCACTCCCCTTCCTACATACACCCTCCAGAGTCCAGACGGCGAACTCTCCGCTCGCCAGGATTTGCAGCGGCCACCTTCTCGGCTTCTCCAGTGTATGGAATGATGGAAGCAAATTAATTTATAAGGGCAAAACAGACATTTTTCCATTATTCAAACGGTAACTTGGAGCCGAAATTTTTTTATGGGTTCAGTTTGAAAAGCGTTCACCCGAATCCGAATAGTTGGACAGTTCCTTGATTAGTTAGGAAGGCATAATACTACGACTTCACACCCTCGACCCGATAATTTCAATACTCACCCGATTGCAGTTCGGCTTCGCCATGCCTATGACCGATGGATTTCGCTATTTCCTTTTTCCCAACTGTGAGAGAAGAGAATGAGTTCCTTCTGAAACAAGTAGGCAAAACAGAAAAGCTCCAAGAGACATGAGATGCAGATGCTTGCTCATCAAGAGGAATCAGTATTGCTGGCAGCACAAAGACACTTCATGTTGACAATCGTATTTCTCCCTTCGTTATTACCATCGGATCGCCAATGATCTCATTATTTTTTTCTCTCTCTTGTTCAGTTAGTTTCCCTAAAACTTGAACGTCGAGATGTTACTTAGTTCACTTCGGTATTTATTCTTGGTTACTCTTACACAAACTGCGATTTTGAATCTGTTTATATGGAGAGCTATTTAGGTTGATTGTTGAATGAGGGAGGTGAATCCATTATGTTATGCAAATAGGTTGTTCATTTATGGTATAGAATTCTATAATTTGTTTGCTTGTTCTGGGAAGGGTATCCGAATAAGGCTAAAAATCTTATTCCAGTAGTAATATAAGAAGGTGGAAGAGATGCTTATCGTTCCCATTGGACAATCATGACTCCAATTGATCAATGAATATCTCATAGAAGTGTCGATTGGTTTTCTTTATGATGTATTTCGGTGAATTATAGGTAATAATTCTTGATAATATGCAAGGCATCTTAGTTATTTTAGTATCATCTTGAGTTCTTGATTGCAATTTTGCCTTACCACATTTAACACCAGATGCAAGAGATGAACATTGAATCTAGTGGAGTGGTGAATTTCCTTGTAGTTAAGCGATGGCAGATACTGAATGCATATCAATGCTCTTCAAGGAGTTTCTGTCACTTGGTTCTTTTCCCTAGTAATCATCCACATGACATTGTTGCTCCCAATCAAACAGTTTTGTGCCTAAATGGACTGTAATCCTTGGATTGCATGCATAGTTTGGTATTTTATATTTCTAAACAATTTCCATTATCAGGGAGCAGATTTTATAAAATCAGGAGTGGAAAATAGGGAAGAACTAACATTAATGATCAAGAAGGTCACCTGAACCTGGCCATTTTTTTTTATATCTTGGATCAATTATTATTAAACAATGCAAGATTGATGATGCTGGTGCATGTGGAACTTGGATAAGGTGAATGATGTAGGGAATTCTTATTACCAATGCATACCAATTGAAACTGCAAAAAAAATGTAATGATACAACATAATGCCAGCCATGAATTAAGATGGGCACGTGAAAAGAATGGGAATGATAGGAGGAGGTTGGTGAACACTTCCCCTGTTCGATGCATAAACAGGGAGGTGACCATGGGTATCTTTTAAGAAGTGACTATAGAAATATGTGGAAAGACCAAAAGTATCATGGTGCAAAGTAGTGTAATGCAAATTGAGACTTGAAAATCATGAAAGATAATATTTTTAAGGAATTGTGGGGATAGGAATTGAATGGCTTAACAACTTCATTCAAAAAATCCATATTTATATTGGGATTTTTTATGACTTTTTTTTTGTATTGCGATTTGGAAAAGGAAACTATGACTTTTCTGTCACTTTCAAGAAAGGGAAAGTTTGTTGGTCTTCTGTTCCTTTGGCAATTCTCTGGGTTTTGTGGTGCGAAAGGAATAGTAGAATTTTTGAGCATGTTATTTCATCTGAAGCTGAAGTCATCAATCATGCTCTAGGTGTCATAAGGAACTGGTTGTCTGTAATTCATGTTTTCAAAGATAATATATTGGATGGCTCTTTTTTGTAAGTGGACATTTTTTGAGGTCCTCTTGACTTGTACAATCTCTCTTTGTACAATGGACCCTTTACTTATACTTATTTTAATACAGTTATACTTAACCTTTCTCTCAAAAAAAAAAAAAAAAGAATTGGGAGGACACTTGATGCAGATATGCTTTATTCATAACTACTCAACCAGAAGTTTAGACTAGAATGTGTACAGTGTACTTTTGGTTAAGTGCTATGAAAGGATATCATTATCCAATGTTAGTCCTGGCTCTATCCAGGGTTGGGAGGGATGGATTGGATAAGGACCTAACTTTTGGCATTTTTTGCACAATGTGCCACTTCAGGTTCAAAACACGTTCTCATGCTTGTCAACCGGATATCTTTACCTTTATGATTCCAGAAAGGTGTTTTAATTTTTCTGAAGTTGGATTTTTCTTTCTTAAAGCTTCCTGGTTCCTTTCATTTCTGATGGATGGTCGGAGCTTGTTACTTATTTCATTTGAAACCTTCTTTTTGAAACCTTCTTTAGAAAGAAGGGAAATGGGGAGAACAGGAAAAATCTTTGAATATAAGACACCCCCAGAGTGGGCTACTGTCTTTTTCCACTCTTTTAGGTTGTATCAGTAAGGAGTTGAATGAGACATCCTAATCTGAATTTCAATCTTGTTAGTTGCATCCTTTTATAAGGGGTGATGGTGTACACTGTACAGTTTTGTGGTCTGACTGGATTTATCACATCTATTATGTTTATAACTAAATTCTGTCAACATTGGAGAAGACTCCTAATTGTTGCCCCTGCCTTTCTTTCCATAAGTGAAATTCTTATTACTATATAAAAATAAAAAAAAAAGAAAGTAGGAAGGATAATATTACAACTGGATATATTTGTGGGGATGCTTTGATTTGTTCCAGTTTATTGGAAACCAATCTGTGCTCTAAGACATGTCTGGTGCAGTAGAAGTCATAAAAGGAAACATATTGTAGCAGTGGAAAAAACTCATTAGTAGAAAAAACAGTCATGGATGAAGTAAATTGATAGATTGATAAAAAAAAATGAAGTAAATTGATAGAACATATTTTTAATGCCTTATCTCAAATGGCCGGGATATGCTATAGTTGAGTTGTATAAAATATAATTGTGTTTGGAAGGGCTTTTGAGAAAATATCTTTCAAAGTGCATATGTGGTTTAGATCTTTTTGTCTTTCAAAGATCTAGATAAAGTTTGGCAAGCTCATATAGTAATTTCTATTCAAAAGATCCTGCAGGAAGCACACAAGCTTAGGAAATTGCTTGAATGTGACCCATTTGAATCCTAATAATATTTTATATATATCATATTTACATATTTACCCACATATTTATTGAGCTCTTAATATCTTATGAGTTATGAGTATATATATATACATACATGCATAAAAAAGGCCATTATGTTGGTTCTAGCTATTTGGGGTCTTGGGAGGGGTTGAACCGGATACAGTCCTAACCTTTGGCATGTTTTTTGGGCACAAATTGGTCGTTCTCAGACTTGAACCCACATTATCAGAATAGACAGCCCAAGATTTTACCATTACACCAAGTAACAGTCTATTTTTTTTTTTTTCATATCTTAAGATTTAAGAATTAGAAAATCTGAATACAGATCAGGTTTATATCTGGATGCAAGTAGATGCATATGCAGGTTAAAGGGTTGGGTCTGGGATAGGTTATATTAAATTGGGCCAGATATGAATCATGCTCTCTGGATCTGATATGGCCCTTTTTTGGATTCAGGTCCAGTAAGGTTAGATCCACTCCAGATCTGACCTGTTGCATGCCTTACCTACCATATGAATAAGGTTAATGTTATTTTTTTGCTTTAGGTTGGTTAAATCCATGCTGAACAGAAAGAAGTTTCATTACAATGGTTTGTAAATCTCAACCTGTAATTTTCCATTGGTGTGTTTATCCGGTCTTTTTATTTTACTCCTATGAATAGAGCCACTCATCTAATTTGTTTCCGTCACCATTCTTGTTCAGGTATGCAGACTGACATCTTCCAAGAAGAGAAAAATATAATAGATCTATATGTTATGCTTCTGAGGTTTTCAAGGTTAGTAAAAGGATGCAGATGGCACAAATTTTAGATGGGGAGATTGGATTCATTATTTGGAATATTTTACATTTTCTTTATCTATTAAGTCCAAACCAATAATCCTAATGTGCTTTTATGTTCTCCAGTCTGATTACATAAACTATGTCATGCCATAGAGATTTCAAGGTGTCAGTACAAAGTAAAAAATTCTTTTCAGGTGTTACTACCATTTTTATACTTGTGAGAAAAAGTTTTTTTAATTAAGTGTTTTTTTTTTTCTTTTATATTTTTGATTCTCTTCATTATAAATTATTGAGTGCTTTGAGTGAATTGGAGGAACTGAATCAAGTAACTAGGTTTCATCAAAATGATGTTTTTGATTGTGACTTCCTGTCAATAATAAGATTCCAACAAATTATGAAATCACAAAGATATGAGTAGAGCTTTGTTGTTCCATTGCAAACTCAATATTCCATTTTTATGAGAAATTTATAGACACAATGTTGACATAAAAAACAGTTACATAATTGCAATCTCTAGTTCTGGCCATGATTATTCTGTTTCTTTCCGAGTTATTTAAAGTACTTCTTTTACATTTATCAGATGCAGAGGCTTGTTGGACAAGAAAACCTGAATCAGGATTCAAGGACTCACCAAATCTTACATGAAAGGTCCGTGGTAGATCAATTTTACAAATTGTAAGTATTCCATTTTACTATTAAAAGAACTCAGGTCAATCATTGCCCTCTGAATATAGATAGAGATGGCCTGGTTTTGACTTTTGACACATGCACAGGTCAATCTTGCTTCTTGTTGTTAAAAATCCTAGCATTTCCTTCTTTTCAAATGCTCCATAAGATAGCTACTCTTATAGACTTATACATCTGCACTTGATTTTTTTACTCTTCTGGAGTGGAGCTAAAGTAAATTGGATTGAAACAATTCCATGATTTCATTTAGAGGTGATCAGGAACTCCATAAAGAGGAACTGGTTGGATCCATATGTCTGTATTATAAGTGCAAAGAGTAATAGATGATTGGCATTCTCACTGTTATTTAAGCAGAAAATATGCATGAGGCAAGAGAATCAAAGTTTCCGTCTCCATTGGAACATCTAACATCCGTTTTTTTTAGAATGATCTTTATGGTGAAATTTGCTGATTTTGTTTTGTCATTGAGGACCTTGGAGGAATCATTTTGGATGATCCAGTTATAGGTTGATAGATGATTGTGGGATACTCTCTTAGAAGACAATAAAGAATGGTGATTGACATGTACTAGAGCAAGAAAGTTGAATTTTGATGGTTGCAGCTTAGGCAATCCAGGTACTTTGGACATTGAAGGGATAATAGGAAATGACAGGGAAACATTCAATTTAGTTTCTCTGGGTCCATTGTTGTTGAAAACTCACTAAAAGGCAGAAAAGTTAGCTCTACTACGAGGGCTAAAGTTGGTTTCAGCAGCTGGCTAGAATGATTTACAAGTGGAAGGAGGCTGTCAAGTGGTTAGATAAGAAAAGGCTCTAACTGCTAACCTGAATTGCTTGTTCGGGTGGATCCCTAGAGCTAAAAATACTTTGCCAGATTCTCTAGTTTGAACAGGGGTAACAACAGACAGTTTTGTATGAGGTAATCCATGACAAGGAGCAGATTTGTAAAGAGCTTTTATTTTGAAACGACAGGAGTAGTTTATATTTACTGCTTTCTCTATTTGTACCCTGCTATCATCCTTATCTGATTCATTTACGAAATTCTCTTGCCTGTTGCTTATTAAGAAAAAAACTAAACCATTTTAAATTTGTAAATAGACTTGAATCTCTTAACTAAACCATTTTAAACTTGAAATAGTCTTTCACAACCAGCACGGACTAAGAAAAAAACCAAGTCATTTCAAACTCGGAATTAGACTTGAATCTTTTAACTAAACCATTTTAAACTTGAAATTTTCTTTCACAACCAGCATAAACCAAGAAACTCCTTGGAAACTGATGAATTATGAAGATGTCAATAAACTCTTCTTAAAATCCCAACACCTGATATCAACAAATGGTGCTTGTACAATTATGATATTGAATTTAAACTGGAGCATGTTACATACTTCCTTACTTTTCTTTTCAGACCATATTCTCCATAGGATAGCTTCCCTTGTGCACCTCCACATGATTTTAAGGGCCAATTTATTTGTTTCAAAGAGATCTGTTTATCAACAAAAGGTACCAAAGCTCCAAAAAGAGGGAAATCGTTTCCTTATACTTGTAGTATAAGAACAAGACAGGAAAAGGTGGTTGGCATCAAGGATGAACACATGAGGAGAGAGATGCAATGTTTTTTGTTGCTCTATGCTTGAGCATCTCACTTGTATTGATGATTTTCAAAATGGTTTTCCGAAAGGATTTGACTTTTATAGGGGTAGGACCCAAGGTTCAAAGTATCGTTACGTATCGGCTGATACATATCATATTGGGAGCACCCCGATACACCCTCTGTCAGTTTTGACCGGTTCAGGGGGTAGAGGAACCTTAAACCGCCACCCTGAACCGGATTTGAAAAAAAGTTAAAAAATGTAAAAAAAAAGTACCAATACTGCCTGATATGCCCCTATCGGCGTATCGGGCGCATCGATATTTAGAACCTTGGTAGGACCATTCAAAGAACCTTAATCTGGAAAGGAACTGGGGAAGGGAAAGATACCAAGGCTTTTCTAAAAAAAAGAGCAAGAAAAAAAAATGAAAGCTAAGGACTCTATGGCCAAAATCGTGGATTCTGCTCCTTCCAGAAGAAATAGTATACCCTCAAGAGAGTTTAAAAGACATAACGCTTTTTTTCACTCTCAAAATCTCTAAGACCCCTTCTAAAGCCAAGATCCCAAGCAATATTGGAAAAGATGGAGTCTAAGTCCGAAATTGTTTTGTTTTTATGCAAAAGAAATGGAATAAAGTATGGAGATATAAGATGCACAATAGTCTACCTCCAAACCACTGATCCTCCCAAGTTTTACATTTTAGCTTGAAACCAAGTCATACTTTATACACTCAAGAAGGGCATCATCTATAACCTTCCAATGGCAATGCAGCGTTACCATCAATGCTAAGCCCGAGTCCCAACTATTCCATAAGGAATGTTGAAGAGATTGTGGCTCCATAAGCGATCTCCAGAACCATTTGCCAAGAAAAGCAAGATTCTTATCCCTTCACCCTTCCCAATTTCAAGCTCTGTCAACCGCAATCCACATGGTGCCTGGTTGACACTTTCTGCTGTTTTCTTGTTTGAGTGAAAGTCAGAAATACTGACAAATAGAAACAAGCTCCCTCTTTCCTGCTTTATTCTACTTTCTGAGTCCATATTATGAGTGATAAACATATAAGTGGTTAAATGTTTCTCAAGGTACTTATTGTTCCCCATTCATGTGCTAAGGATCCTTGTTAGTTGTTAACATGTTTGCTTAATTCATTCAGCCACTATTTCATGACACTGATTTTCTTTTGAACCTGTAGACTTTATTCAAATGATTAATAATTTTTCATGTTTCATGTAATGGTCAGACACATACTTCACAGTCTTGTTTTACGCCATCAATTGATCTTCACAGTCATTAATCATAGCAGGTGAACACCTTGTCATGTTCCCCATTAAACACATTGGTTTACATTTAAGATTTCCCACAACTTTGCTCTATATTGTGTTAAATTGCTGAAATTTTTTTTGCCTTATATTTCAACACATCTTACCGGGTTATGTTACCTGAAGCTATTGCATTTGTCATGGCTCCCAGAGATGCATCAAGGTGAGGAAGTCGTCTGCCATATGGTAAAAGGAGTTTGTACTAGACCTGTTCATGGGCCGGGTAGCCCGATGGCCTGGCCCGCACCCCAGTTGGGCTTGGTCATGTAATTAGTCCGCAGGCCTGACCTCGGGCCTAACACAGTAAGCCCGACTGTGTTACGGGCCGGGCTCAGGATTTGTCAAAAAAGCCCGGCCCGAGCCCGACTCAGCATTATATATTTTATAAAATATATAAATATTATAATATTTATTGAAATATATATATATATATATATTTATAATTTAATATATACATTTTTTTTATTTTTTTCTTTATAATTTCTCTCTCACTCTCTCTCTCTCTCTCTCTCTATTCAGCCACTTCAGCAGTAGTAACAACATGGGATAAATTTYGGGCTCGGGCCCAGGCCYGGGCTTCGGGCTTTTTATGAGGGCCGGGCTCGGGCCCAAGTTGTAGGCCCGTTGGTCGGGCCGGGCTCGGGCTCAGGCCTTAGAAAAATCTGTTAAAGAGTGAAAGCCCGGCCCATGAACAGGTCTAGTTTGTACCATGGACCCTTTCTGAGTAATAGGTAGTTTCTTTACAAGTATACAACCCATGGTATCTTCCAGTTGCCAAGGTGGCATGTCGGTCATAAGACAATGCCAGCAGCATGGCTTCCATCTACACAAGCCCTCCTGGCGGCCAGCCAATTTATGAGCATTGTACAGATGTATACATTATTCCCAATCGAAATTTTGATGATTGATATCCAGTAATCGCAATCCATTGAACGTAAGCAGACTCATTTGTAGAAAGGGAAACAACTTGGAAACTGGAATGTTTATATATTCTTATGAGTTATGAATCGGTTTTCCATGTAAAGAACTGCCTAATTCTCTAGACTTTTTGCCGATTTTTTTTTTTTAATCACAAGTAAATTCATCATTCAATTCATGGATCCTTTCATTTCACTTCTTTACCTTTTTATTATCAGAATCATGTATTGTTTACATCACACGTTATGTTGTTGTCCTTTGTCATTTTATATATAGATGAATTTTCATTTAATTCATGTACAACCAAGATGTTTGTTTAAACCAGGATCATATCAAAGTCAGTTTTCATTTTCTGATGGTTCAAACTGTCAAGTGGTGGACCACTATACTCGGCTAACCATATGTATTGATCAGTAAGATGTCATAGGCTGCTTTGTTTTTGGGTGATCGGCCTTGTGGTATGTTCAAAAGATGGCCTACAGGTTGGTGTGGATCGCTGAGTGCCATATGGTAAGAGACATTATTCTCGATACCTTTTCTAACTTGGCTCTGTGTGTTTTCTTTGAAGGGCAGTTCTATGCGAGGTTGGTATAGATATCTCCATGTGGATTAGCATGAATTTTTATTGACAAAAGTGCCCTTGATGCATTATTTTCTTTTTCCTTGTCTATTGGCGAATAAGCCCTTAAATCGCAGGCACCTAGAGGCTTGGTATTCCCCACCTCCGAAAAGCATGGTGAGTGGGTGTGAAGTGTCGCATTGTGTATTTCAACACTCGTTTGAAATTATAGAGATGAAAGTGAAGCTGATAATAAAAAGATAACTTGGAAAGGAAGAGTGAGAACAAAGTTACTTCTTTCAAAAAAAAGAGAACAAAAGTCACTCATACTGCAAAGGCCAAAAGCAAAGATGAACTATTCCTCAAGGCCTCAACCGAATCTACAAGGATATGGAAACTTTATTGGATGCTTTAGACACTTTTGTGTTTCATGGTTTTCTTTTGAGGTTGCTAGAACACTTCATTAAAGTAATAGTGATCTGGGCTTCTACTTTTTATGTGTTTTTTTTCCTTGTAATAGGATTGTTTTGGGTAATTAATTTTTAGTTTATGTTTACTTTTCTTAGTATGACAGTGTGTAGAGCTGTTCACATAGGCCGGGCCGGACTTTGCCTCTACATTAACAAAATATGTTCATGCCCGAGCCCTGCCAGAAATTTGAAAAGAAAAAAAGAAAATTCCTTTTTAATTCAATTAAAAACTAATTTATTTATATTAAAAGACCTCAAAACTTAAAAAAATGAAAGATCTCATTATTACTTGAAAAAAGAGAAGAAAAATATATTATATATATATATATGTTTTTTTATTATATAAAATATATTTTTATTATATAATACATTATCAAGTCAGGCTCGGGTTTGGGTTGGGCTTTTTTGAAAAAGCCCAAGCCCACAGGTCTGAAAATCTGTTCAAGTCCGATTTAGATCGAGCTAACCCATCGGGCTACCCGGCTCATGAACAGGTCTAATAGTATATTGTTCTAATTGGCCAAATAACATTAGGGAGCTGTTTTTGAGATGGGCCCTCTTGAGAAAATGGCAAAACATTTATTTTGGCTTTTTTTTTTGCTGTTTTTTAAGAAAAGGACCAACCAAACATCATATATCGATGAGTATTTTGCCGTGTTCTCAAAATTTGATGTTTACTTCAATGTGGTACCGTTTTTTCACTTTTTCAGGAAACTGCAACGGAACCAAACACCACCTAGAAATCTTCCTTTAGTTGTACTTTGTGCAATCCAGGCTCCATCCATCGACTCGCACCTCTAGTTCTAGCCTTTATTTTAGAAGTTAGAAAGATCGTTTATTCCCCAATAATCTATCGAGCCTTTGAGTAATTACATGGAAAACCATCACAACTCATTTCCTTTGTCGTTTCTTCTAAGACCCAAGACGTCAAGCATAGGATAGCTGAGACTAAAGTAAGCTTGGCTGACAAATAATGGAAGTAGGCATGCAGCCTTTGAAATCTCCTTCATGGAACGGTCGTCCGTCGTCCACTAGTTCCCACTCTGCTTCAGCTATGAACAAATGCTGTAAAGCCAACGGCTGTGGGGAGTGAGACTAGGATTTGTGAGACTTTGAGGCCACGGCCACATCCACAGTGTTTCTTCCTGCCTGCGTGGAACAATTCAACATGGATTGGCTATGTATGCTCTGTCATTTCCCACGTCACTACAGTACATCATCTTTGTCCCTGGGATTTTTCTGCCGTTCTGTCATGCATTCAAGTTGTTAAACTGTTGTTCGATCCAGACTCCAGAGTGTTTGAAAGGACGATATGATGATAATGGCAGGAACCCCGAACCCTCTGGAGTCTGGACTACTGAGTACTGGCCCACATGTACACAGTCCATGACTCCCTGTAGCGATGTACGCGTACCCTGTGGAAGAGCATGTTTGTCCCGGTTCAAATCGAGCGGAGGCGCAGATTACTCCTGGGGCTCGGTGGCTCCTCCTCCTGGAGTCCTGGGCCCTGAATGATGAGCAGAATTTGCTCTAGTGTAGGCAAAAAAGTCCACCTCACCTGACTCCCTATGCATTCACCTTTATGATAGCCTCTATCATACTAACTACTCGCTACCGGCCGGTAAGGAACTCCTCCGATCAGGTTGTTGGCCAATTGCAAATTAAAGAAAGCTGCAATTACATCTGTTCAAAAAAGCAACATCGTTGATCGTTCCATTGTTCCATCTAAGTAACTGATTCTTTGATTATTGATATGCATGTACCCAAGTATAAAATTCCAATCCAACGGTGGTTTGCATAGCCAAGGTCTATTTCTTCCTATTCCTTCACGTCCCATTCAAGGAACCGTTTCCTTTGTCTTTGATCGTCTTGTAAGGAAACCAAAGGGTCCCACCTCTGTCTCCCTCCTACTTTGCTTGTTACAGGGCTACAGTCCCCCCCTTAAGCCTTATCCTTTCGTGGGTAGACGGCATCTTATAAAGGGCACCCCAACATGGGAGAGAACCATTCGGAGGACGAGACAGGCATCTAATTATGCACCCAAATGATGATTCCACAAATGTCCTACTTTTTACATGGGGTCCACAACTCCACATCCATGATCCATCAGTGCCGACCGTTCTTCTATCTAGGTTTGATCGTTAAGGCTTTTCATCTCGTTCACCGACCGGAGCAACGGCAAGTATCACGGATTAACCATCCATCCACTGCTCCGTGTCATTATGGTGATTCTACCACGAGGTGACAAGTGGGTCCCTACCCTTCCACTGTGAATTGAATGCCCATTTTCTGGCCGATGATCAAACATTTCCGGCACCATCCGCAACAGCAACCATGACCATGAGAGTATCCACGGAGGGTCCCATACTATTGGTCCAGGTGGATTTGAGTTTCTCTCTCTGGTTGCTCTTGCTCACGTGGCAAGTATCCACGGAGGAGAAGATGAGATGGCTTATCAAAGCAGAAACACGTACATGGGCTGCCCTGGTCCATGTCCATCACTCCATGGAGCATGGGCCCAACCTACCATACCATAAAATGGGCTTCCAACAAACTCACCCAATGGGCGGTGCATCACTTTACCCACTTCTTATCTCTTTCAGGTTAAAAGTTTTGAGATTCTTCACCTCTTCAGCAGCAACCTAGAAATGTTTTTATTTTTCTGGTCTCTTTCTGATCGTTGGTCCATTCATTAAGCCGAGCGGTTCTGATCTGAAGGGTTGTTGGGCTTTGTCTTATGGGAGCTAGGTTCCGTTCCATGATAGTATTGTCTGTCTAAGTTTTTATCAGATACTCATGACTATGTTGTGATCATGTGTCCATTATTGCTATTGCCAAAGAATGATACTTCAGCATCACGCCCTCTGACAACCGTCAGATAAGAATAATTGGCTGGACCCACAAAACAAGCTGTCTGGAATCCGAACTCAGATCTTGAGAGGAAACATTCGGTACTGTCACAAGACAAGGGACCTCTGGTTTTCCTCCTCTATAGCTCAAATAGAATAGTGTGCAGGAACAACTTGGGACCACTGTTTGAAAAATGAAAATCCTCCCATCTGAGGCCTCGACTAAAGAATGCCTTAGACAACCATTGGATTGGAATAAATGTTCCTCACTTCCTCCTGATACACAGTGCCATTGCAAAAGCCTAAAAGGTGGTACGCATGCACGCGTGCAGCTTCTCTCTCTCTCTCTCTGACTCTAATACATTCAAAAGTCTAATTGGCCATTAAATATTTAATAATTGTTAGGAAATTTTTAAAATTATTCCACTCACAATATCTCTATATTTAATCAGGAAGTAAAATATTAAACAATTGTTAGAATTTTTTTTTTAATTATTCCAGGTACAATATCTCTATATCAAATTAGGATTAGGTGGTAAATTATTCTTAGGGATTCTTAGAAAATATTCCTAGTACATCATCTCTATATCAAATTCAATCTTCCATCATTTCTGATATATTGTTGGTGAAGATGTAAAACTTGTCCAATATATATACAATCAAGTGGTTCCTACCGGTTTTTGGGTGAGTGGTTTAACTGTCTGGTTCCCAAGATTTTGAAAAATAATAAAATGATTCAACAATTATTCATCGGATCAAATAGTTTAGGGGTCCAACCATTCAGGTCCGTAGTTCACTGATCAAATCAAATAATATTTTAGAAATTTCCGGATCAAGCAAAAAATAAAAACCGAACAACTAACCGGTTCCTTGGTCGAACAGTCTGACTGTTCGATTCGATCCGGTTTTCAAAACAGTGCTGACCACTAGTCCACTACCTACTTTCGCCTTGAAAAAAAAAAAAAAAAAAGAAGAGATGAAACTCCTCCCTTTTGTTCTGACTATGTTATCTATTAGAGAGAACGTCCTGATCACCATGTCAGGGGAGTTGTAAAGCCATTTTCACTTCACCCAGAAAGAAAAGAAAAAAAAATGGAGCAACAATTGACATTTCAATTGATACTCAAGGTGCACCCAGTTTGTGCTAAACATTAGAAATTTTAAATCTTGAGATCGTCACCAACAATTGACATTTCAATTGTTCATATAGTATTCAATTCATCTGATTAAAACCAAATTAGGGTTTATAGCTAGAGCTTATGCATCTTATTGCCAGGGAAAGGAACTAAAAGAATGGCTGACAGAATATGGTGAGTTCAATTTGCAATTAATCTCTTTGCTATGCATCCATGGCTTCATCTCTTTATTGTAAAGATGATATTCGTTTCTGCTAAAGTGTTCTGACTTTGTAATTTCTTCCTTTTTTTTATAATACTGAGAAAACCTGTAAAATATGTTTTGACTTGAATCTCATGTCTAGAAGAACCCCTTCTTTTAGCATGTCTAAATTATGAGAATTTGAAACTTAGATTAGTGCATTAATGTTGGATTGTTCTTACCAATTTAATTAACTATATATGTCTGTCTCATATTGTTATTGTACGAGACCTCTTCATCCTGCCGTCCAATTGATGAAACCCACTTGTTCCATTTTAAGGGTTTTTTAATCTATTTTAAATCTTGTTCGTTTGATGGGTTTGGACTAAGAAACAGAATGACATAAATAAGATGATGGATAGAATAGCAAGTTGGGTTTAATTTCTCAAGAGATGATTAATTAATTCTTAATTCAGTATTAATAATCTAACTTAATTTGTTTATCAAGGGGAGAAAGGTTCAAGGAAACAAACGGCTCCGTCGGTGGTTGAGACTTGAGAGCCTCCTCATTATTTAGTTACTTCTTTAGCCCCGTAACTCCCGTCAGAGTTCTTCCACGTTTACGTCCCGGTTCTCTCCCTCTCTTTCTCTCGCTCACGTTCTGTCTCTAAGTCTCTCTCTTCATTCATGGATGTTTTTGTCCTCAATTTCTTCCTGGGGCTTTCATTTGTCAATGTCTCTCTGCAACCACGGAAACAAACCTCCTTGTAGAAGCTCTAAAAGAGAGTTTCTGGGTAGCCTTTCGGTGGTTATTTCAGTTACCTTTTCCTTCTTTTCTTTTTGGATTAGAGAAATCTGAAGATTAGTCTGCGTCCATTTGCAGGGAAGCGAGGAGCTTCGAATGCTGGAATCGTTCAGACTTCACAGCTTTAAACGCTTCTCTTTTCCAGTTTTTGCGTCCTTTTGTTCCAAATTTCAAACTCCTTTGTAGGCCCTTTTTACTCTTGAGAGTCCAAGATGTCTTGTCTCGTGTATCTACAGAGCTTTTAATGCCGGCCGTGGCTCGCGTTTGAATCTTCGCGGTTGCCTGGATCGTTCAAACATGTTACATTTTACGATTTTTCCGTTCTGTGTTTCGAATATATAATTAAAAATCCAGTCTCTCTGTTAAATCCTTTCTGGGTCCTGAAGGATTTTGAGTCTCTGTTCGAGAGGTTTGAAGAAATGGCGATTGATCTCTGCTCGGAGAGCTCTGGCCCGGGAATGAGTCCCAGAATCTCGTTTTCTCATGATCTCCGTCAATCAGACGTTGTGCCCGTCGAACAACACAACTACCGCACGGATTCTTCGCTTCTGGATTTCGATTTCTGCGTGAGCGAAAGCTTCCAACAAGAATCGTCCTCTGCTGATGAGCTCTTCTGCGATGGAAAAATCCTTCCAACTCAAATTAGGCAGAAATTCGATCCTCCAAGACAAACCCAACGACCTAAATCTGCTCCTCCCAACCCTCCTCTACCACCACCGCCACCACCACCGGCAGCAGCAGCAGCAGCAGTAGCGGTAACAGCAGCAACAACAGCACCTCCTGCTCCTGTTAGTTCTAGGACTGAGAATTCGAAAAAAGAGAGCTTGAAGGAAATCTTGGAGAACAGTGCAGAAGAAGAGGAAAAGGTACACTCGAAGTCGTTCTGGCGCTTCAAGCGAAGCAGTAGTCTTAATTGCGGTAATGGTCACAGGCGGAGTTTAATTTGCTCTATACCTCTCTTATCTAGAAGCAATTCAACAGGTTCGTCACCGAATCCAAAACGACCACAACTTTTGAAAGACAATCACAAGAATCAACAGAAGCCCCCAGTGATCACACCTATAAAATCTTCCTCTTCATCTTCTTCTGTTCCTTCCTCGTATCTGTCATCTTCCCATAAGCCTMCCTTGAGAAAGAATCAAGGATCCTATGGCAATGGGGTTCGAATTAGTCCTGTCCTGAATGTCCCACCACCTTATATCTCAAAAGGAACTGCTAATTTGTTCGGTCTGGGTTCACTCTTCTGCAACGGAAAGGATAAGAACAAGAAGAAATGATCGGCATTCGTCTCCTCACCAACAATGAATTCTCTCTCCGATAAAACCCAGGTTATAGATTTCATGTATTTAATTTAGCGTCAACATGGATTCATGAATTACCGTGTGAAAAAGGCTTCTGAATCAATTATGTTGAATGAAAACAATTACAGAGTTTGAACAAACAGTTGGGGTTATTTAAAAGAAAGAAAATTGGTAATTACTGGGGATTGAGATTTACATTAATGTTGAGGCTGAGGAGAAGCGCAAGATACTAGAGGGAGAGACGATCTTGGAATGGTCATGTTCATGTATATCAACATGTCACAGGTTTAGGAGACAGAATAGCAGGTACCCTTCATTCATGGCTGTTCCATTATTTCGTTTACTTTTTTTTTTTTTCTCTTTTGGAAAAATTTACATGATTTGGTTTCTTTTGTTTATTTTTAAAGCTTCTTTCTACACTGTTCATAGATACATTGATTTGGGTTCTACTTTTTTCTTCCCTGTAGGAGTAATCTGCTTTAGTTTGGGTGTTCCTTTGTCCTTTGAGATTAAGACAAAAGGATTGTTCCTAAGGAGTAGTTTTAGATAATTAAAGAAAGAAATGTATAATTATAGTATAATTATGTTGTTTTATTAGCTTAGAGAGAGAGAGAGAGAGTCTGAGAGAGACCATTAAATTATTCTAAAGTCATAACTATCATTATCAATGTTTCTTTATATGTTATTTGGTACAATTCTGTTTTGCATCATTAGATGTTTGATGTTTGAAAGTTAGGAAATAGGATCATTTGATTTTTTTTCTCTGATTATTAATTAAGGGGAAAGGGATTAATAAGCATGGGCCCTAATGTCTACAATACTTGCAAATTAGGTGGCCAAATTAGACACATTTTTTACTAAAAATATGGAAATAAAAAAGAAAAAGAAATAGTGATAAATTGTAAGCAATGCAGAAAGAATAGTTAAGATTTGTTTTACTGGCTTGGACTTGGTCTTGATGAGGACTTGTTTCTTGCTTTCTTTCTCTTTTTTTTTTTTTCCTTCTTTCAACCAATTGCTCTTTCTTCAACCTTTTATTAATTTTAATTAATTCTTTTTGGTAAGCTATAAACTTCAATTAAGTAATTAAGTAAGAGTTGATAACCTGCGATTACTCGATTTTTACTACAGTGCACGCTTTGACAATGTAAGGTGGGTTTTACGACACGTCCATGGTACTTACTAAAGTCTGGAGACTGACGCTCGAGTCTGGACATGGAAAATTGGAAATAAACGTAGAGAAAAAAAGTTTTGAAAAGACTCCGGATCTTCTGCCCACGTTTACCCGCAACACACTACCCCGTGCATTGGGAATATCTCTTCGACTCCAATGGATAACACTATGCGATGTCGGTAATGTGGGTAGAGACGTGACAGAATTCTAATGGGCAGAGGAGATCCGGATTCATTGGAAATGAGTGAGTTTGAGGCCGTGGGGATGTATTTTGGCAACCCAAAAACTTGGTCTCGGGCTACGAGACAAACCGACCTGGGTGTTGTTGCTCCTTGGGCCATAAGCCGCCGTTATGTAGGTCCAAATCCAACCATACAAAACAAGACTCCATGAAAATTCATGGAAAGCTCAGAGATTATATTCCTGAACTTTCAGATATTGATCAATAATCAGAAGGAATTAGATATATAGGTCAGTCCTAGTACAATCATCATCATCCATGTGGCTCATACACACTTATATTAGAGTTAGAACCCATTATGGTTCAATTTGGGAAGTGCAAATGCCTTCGAGGTTTTATGGGTACAAATTTTTTAAAAACTGTCTTATAACATCAATAGCCGTTTCTACTAAAAAATTATACGTATCGAATTGATCGTTAACATTTATAAGGGAAACGTCAAATGTAATGAATGTTTCATGAAGAAATAACAATGGTATAAATATAACATTATATATCCATAAAAAGATCTAATTATCTATGTTGATATTCTATATAAAATTGAAATTTATTATGTATATTAATTAATGGCTCATTTATACCAAATAATAAACAAGTAAAAGAAGGAAAATGTGAAAAGTGCCCTTAAAAATGCATGGAATGTCTCAATTTTTCTACGATTCATCCATTAAAGAGAATCGTCCACGTAGAATTCTTTTACCCAATTTAGGTTGACAAAATTGAAAATAATGAAAAAGGAAAATACCTAACTGGTCAAACTCAAAAGTACATAGAATTTTTTTTTCTTTTTTTTGCCTATTTTGCATCTTTTTCCATTTAAGCAAGCTTAGGATGTGGCGTTGTAAATTTGAAATCCTGTTGTGGTCCTTAGGATTCTAAGGACTAAGGACCGGCAAGAAATAATGGTCCTTCCGGTACACTTGTAAGGCTGAAGGGAAGGGCCATGGTCAAGTAGGTTAAGACTGTCTAAGTTCAACAATCCAACTCGTAATAGTAAGCCAACTTATTTTGATTGGTAAGCCAATTTGTGACTTGAGACATCAGACATCAGACATCAAATTAGGATTTGATACCAGACTGACGTGGCGGGTTTTAGTTGGCCCAGTACCCTCCAGTTCCAGTAGAGGAATGTGAATGTCCTTTTAGGACATTTAAGATACAAGGACCTGGCTGTGTTTGCACCAACAGGGTTGGCACCACCACATGGGGATAGGGGCCAATGGGCGCATCAGTTGATGGGTCATCCCTGAAACTATCTTTTAAGCAAAAAAACTGGTCTGATTGGACTGTAAATCCCTAATCACATGTCTTTCAATCCTTCAACCTTTTACATTTTCTTTTTCTTTTCTTCTTTTTCCTTTTTGATATTTTCCTAATTTTACAGCGCGGCAACATCTTTAACATAACTTCATATCAGAAAAAATGAAGGGATCTACTGGGATCTGAGCTTAATTTTTAGGTTGAATCTTAAGCTGGGCCCCAATAACTTGTCATATGCCCCTTGATTGTACCCTAGCTACCAGACCAGATGAGCCAAAAGCAGCATATCCCACTGATTTTACCCAACAAGTTGAAAGTAGCCATACAGGAGCTCATAAAAAAAAAAAGTAACTCTATAAAGACTCCAATAGTTAGATTATAAATAATCATATGGTTGGGCAGATTTTTGGCCTACCCAGTGTTCTATTTTGGACCCATTCAATGGTGGGCCATGATTCACAAAAATGGTACAGGTGGCATATTATGAACGTTCAAATTGTCACAGCCCACGAATACTTTTTTTCAAGAGCTAAGGCAAGAGTGCTGTGGAGAAAAAAAAAAAAAAACTTTTATAGCACACCCTTATTGGTAGTTTCTTAAGCCATGTTTGGTTGGATATAATTATGATCCAAAATGATTGTTTTAGAAAATATAGATTTCTAGATATTTATTTGACGATAAAACACAAAGCAATGCAAAGGGATGTTCAAATCTAGAATCAAAATAGGACAGCATAATTTACACTTTATTTAAGTCATTTTATTTGAATTAATTTGTGGGTGCCACTTCTGCTTTATATTTTTCCCATGTCACAAGATTCATTTTTAGTGAAAATGTCACAATATTCCTTGAATATACATTAAATAGCTTGTCAATAATATCATTTATAGCACCAGTGAAAAGAAATGATCATTTACAAGTTGAGAGGGCTAAAAAAGTTAGGCAGACCAAAAGAACATGAGCAACAGTAGTGAGAAATGATCAAAGGGCCCATCATTTAACAATAGGTATGGCTTTCAATAAAATGGAATGGCAAAATAGTATTCATTTAGCCGACACCATATAGTTAGGACAAAGCTTGGATGATGATGATGATGATGATGATGATGATAATGAGAGGAATTGTGTAGAGTTTCAATCTTTTTCACTTGAAAAAAAAAATGCGTATAAGGGAATTGTTCTGGACAGATGACAAAAATTTTCAAACCAAACTTACCCCACTAATAATGAAAGTTGGAAGGATGTTTACTGAAGAAAGGGGAAAAGAAAGAATGAAGGTTGAAGAAAGATTTCTTCACCTTACAGGAGAATGGGAGTCTGAGACCCACTAGTGGGTGCAATGAAAGCCCTTTTACGGGTTTGATCCTTTGCCTCATATTTGGAGCCTTGGAGAGGTACCAAGTGACCAGGGGTTGCTCATGGTCCGGATTCTGATCCGATTTTATCTGATTCAGATATACCCTATCAAAATTTTCCAATCGGGCTGAATTGCAAATATGTTTCAGATCGGATCCTTATCACTTTTATCAGATATCCAATAAAACGATACAAATAGAAATCAAATTTGTGACCATCTCAACAATTGGGTCATATCTGTTAAAGGAAAGAAAATTAGGAGATCCTTTTCATTCCAAAATAAATTGCCATGCACGAATGAATGTACATGAAAGTTTGTCAAAAATTAATTGGAAAAAATTGTGCTTGGTTTTGGGAATCACCTAATTGCAACACCTCAAAGTATTTTAGAAAAGTCTCCTCGAGCAAGGTCTTAATTTCCAAACAAAATAAAATATGTTGGCTGAGCTTAATCTCGGAAACAAAAGGGCCTTAAACTTGTTTTAGAAAAGCTAGATTATTTGTAACACACTAACACCAATGTAGTAGGTGTTTGTAAAGCATGGTTGTTGATGTGACTCTGACTCTGACATGGTGGTGCTTTCTCAGAAAATGGCAATGAAATCAAATGCCTCCAAAAATTGCTATTTTTTAAGAAAACACCAAATCAATGGAAAAACGGCAACGGAACCAAGCACCACTATATGATCTTGAAGGCCTCTGGTGAGTCTTTTGAGTTAGGAAATCAAGTACACGTTTGGTATTGATGTTACAGATATAACATCGTTTTCTCTGATGATGTATGGATTGAAAGTACTGTTTTTTGAGAAAATGGTGTTTTTTTTTTTTGTTTGGAAACATTGCTGTCAAGTTGGACATTTCTTGGAATAACAGCGACGTTTTCTGTTTAATACCAATGCTCCAGGAAACATTTTCAGCACTGGTACCTATTATCCAGTGCCACATCATGTCCCTGTCACTGCCACCTCATGTTCTTGTTGGCAGTAACGAGCTGCAGCTCCAGGAAACGTCAAATTCAACGTTGCTTCAATCCATGCCTTCCCGATTTCTAAAGTGAAGTGTGAAGCACTGCTTTTTATAAGAAAACAATTCCAAACAAACAGGCACTTCCTGAAACATCATTTTTTCTGATGTATCTTTTAGAAGTGCTTATTTTAACAATCATTTAAGATTATTTGGTGATTGACTTGCCAAATCACTTATTATGTTTTTTAAGCACTTATTGGGGTGGGGATGTTTGGTGAGCTACTTTCCCCACAAGTGCTTATATTGACACAAATGACAATTTTAGCCCTCACTTTATTCATATATATAAACAATACTTTTCACATATTATACTATACATTTCAATGAAAAACCGCCACATCATGAAACCTAAGAGCCCATGTGGGCCCACATGTGGAGTGCTATGTCGCCGATAAACTTGCTCAATCACAAATCCGTGAATAGAGAGAAGAGTGCCTTTTCAGGTGTTAAAAAACTCAAGAAAAATGCTTTAGATCAAATAAAATAAGCAAAAAAATAGTCACAAAGGGAAAAACGATAAGTTTGTCATCCATATTTTCACACCGTCGATCGTTGGTGATGGACCTACAACTAGAGTCGCTACCCTCTACTTGTTGTGTTCAAATAGGAGGAGAGGGAAGA